GCCCGGGGCTCCCTGCGTCCGGCGCCCTCTCAGACCGCGACCCGCGTGTTTGGAAGCAACCGAGAGCAGGAATGCTTTAAAAAAAATGTATTAACAATAACCATAAAATAGTAATAATGAGAAGAAAGAAACGGGCACCCAGCCAGCAGGCAGGCAGCAGAATTGGATCCAGAGGAAAAGAAAGCAGTGAGAGCAGAGATAACGCTAATATCCAAATTGGATACTCCACAATTAAGCCCGGTGCTTTAATTGCTATTCTCAGAGCCCCTTGGAAGCTAAGAAACGTGAAATCAGCCTGAATAGAAAGGAACTCGTGCCTTCATCCTCATCCTGCCCTGCCCATAGATGCCTGCACCCTTGCAGCCCATGGTGCTCTCAGCCTCACTGCAGGAGGGCAATCCATTCTGTGGTCACAGATCCATCCCTGGCCCCTCCTGTGCCATGGGTGGCCTGAGAAGAGTGTGCTCTACCCCTCTCAGAACTAGAGAATGGCCCTAGAGTAAGTCTTGCTCCCACCAGGAAAAGCCGGAGTGGGTAACAAAGCAAACCTCTTCCAGGTGGAAGTGTCAAATGCAGTGTCCTTCACTCTAGAGTTGCAAACACCCATCCTGCCAATGTCTGAGTCTTGGTAGGAGATTTGGAAGAGCTCAGATGGTCCTTGGTGACACCCTAGAAACAAGAGCACCGAGGAAAGCCCTCCCCATGCTTCCCTGCCAGCTCCAGGGTCCTGCAGGAAAGCAGACCCCAGGCCGAGCATCACACGCTCTGCCTCAGTGCCGATGCAGACTGCACTGTCCAGCCTTTGCATCCCTCTCACTGAAGGCACCCTCCAAGGAACACGCAGTTGCTTGGACGACCTACCTAGCACTCTCTATGTCCAGGAGCAGTGAGGAAGATGCTGCTCAAAAGACAGGCAAGGAGAGCTGGATCCCACATGTCAGAGAATTATGTTCCACCTTTGTTGCAGGTATGTATTTGCAGGGCAAAACATGCATATGGCCAAGGTTTCTGAGGGAGGAAGGCCTCCTAAAAGAGCCACTGTGGAGTCTCTCTTAACCCCCAGGTCCTTTCTCAGTTTGTACCTCAGAATCGATCTACGTGCTCCAAATAGAGTTTGCTGGTCTGTAGACAAAAATGTGGCTGTAGCACTGTGTGCATCTATATCAATATGCCATCTGGAGCTTGAATGAATTTCTGTTTCCATGTGTAGTGTGTGTACAGTGATTTTTTTTCATGTAGCTGCAGTGACCACAAGCAATACCAATCTGTGCTTGAGCTCTTTGACAAAAGCAGACACCAATATTTTCATTTTGACAGCCTGGATCTTCCTGAGGGTGCTGGTAAGGGCTGTTCTCCTGTAAGAAATATTTTCCTAACATTTTTAGGCATGCTTTAAAAAGTGACTATGATATTTTGCATTCTAATTTCAGTAAAAAATGGAAGACATATTAGCCAAAGCCTAAAGTAATCTGAAATTATCTCAGAACAGTTGGAGAAAAGAACTGTAGAGTGATACTTACATACAGAAGCTGCTAATAGCTGAAGAGATTAGTCATTTGACTTTGCCATTCCTTTCACTGATAACAGTGATACAGGAAGAGCAGATATGGTTTGGCCAAGGGATGTTTTTTCCTTTCTGTATGGCAAGAAGGGACAAACTATGACTCTACAAGTCCTCCTGCATTCTTCTGGATGAAGCAAGCTGACAAGGAGCTTGACAAAAAGAGAGGGAGTGGTTTTCATCCAGCATATTACTTAGAAACACAAAATGGAGGGTTAAGTATTTCTAGGAACAATTTCTGACAAGGAGCTGCAATCATTTTAAAGAAGTCAATGATATTTAAGGTTATATTTCCATGTGATCTTAAGATGAAGGAATTCATCAACTGTTTTTCTTTATAAAAGTACACAACTCCACAGTTACATGGTACATCAAAGCTTGTTTACTTTTAGGATGAGACTAGTTGCCTTTCTACTTGATAGATATCCATCCACATCTTACATAAACATTATATATATGTATATTTATCATTCCTTCCTAAATAAATCATAAGGGCTAAGTTCTCTATAGTGATTAGGGGCCTGAGTGTCCAGTTCAACAACTTTTTTCAGACAAAATGGGTACATTCCCCTTGATCAAAGAAATCAGGCTCAATTACAAGTTTGAAATCAGGCACATAAAAATGCCAATTGCTTTCAGAATTATCTTCTCAAGATGTTGCACAGCATGTAACCCCCAAATTATTTTTATATTAAGATGTAATAGTTATTGTAAATAATGTGTGTGGAGGTTGGCTCCAAATAAAAAATGTTGCAAAATCTACAGCAGCACAGTACTGTGGCAGGGTTTACTCTCACTAGCTTGGGTAGGCTTTTTTTTTTTCTCCAATCAACTAAGATGAATAAACTGCATGAAATGAAACAAATAGCATCTCTGATAGGAAACAGTTTTTCAAACATCTCTTTAATTCAAAAACACTTAAATGTTATTTGTAAGACAAATTGAGGGATTTATTTTAAACGGGTTCATGTTTACTATAAATTAAGGGCTACATTATTTTTGTCCTGCCTGAGATAAAAGAATGTGAATGAAAGTTCTCATATCAAAAGCAACCAGGGCTGGATGTGGCAGTGATGATGTTGGGGAGGATGCAATCCAGCAGAGCCATTCTGTCACAACAGAACAGCCTCTGCCAGCACTGACAGGGACCAAAGGCCCTACAGTAGCTTTGACCCTTAGTCAAAGACTCTTTGTTACCTGCTGACTTCGTAAAATCAGAGCCTATTTCCAGGGCCCTAGATAAATGGGGTCTGCAGCTAAGGGAAAAGACTTCCACTTCACAGGTCCTCTGTTCAAACACAGACACACTTGCATTAGTAGAAGAAAAGCCATGTCTATGGAAAACAATTTCTTATAATCAACGAAATGGATCAACTGTTCTGGGTAATTCACACCATAAAAAGGTTTTCCATAGTAGCACTCCTTTGGGTGTTTGCACATGGGCTGCAGAGCATGGTAACCAGGACTCCTGCTTTTACACGGTGCTCTGTGCCCTGCTCTACCCAGCCAGTCAGGTTATAAAGTGGCTGAATACATCTGTGCTCTTCTCCTGGTGTTCAGATACCAGGCCTGTGTCAGTTTTGGAAGATCACCATAACATTGGTCACGCAGGTCCACAAACAAGGATGCCATGTCACAATGCATAAAGAACAGCATGGAAGAAATTTTATCAGCTAATTTAAGGGAGAGCAAGTGGAGAAACAAGCATACAAACCTGAGAGTGGCACACGCACCTGGCTGGAGGACTTAGCTTAATTTTGGTATGAAACCTGTTTTCATTTCTTTTGCACATGGTTCAGGACCAAGAGATTCTAGAGCAAGATTGAGCCAGAAGCCACTGGTGGGGAGATCTCATCAGGAGACAAGGACACCTGGACACAAGGAGACTGATCACTTTGTTTGCCACTCAGAGGACACTCATCCTGCCAGCAGCCCAGCAGAAGGGAATTGTGAGCACTGCTGCAGTTGCTTTGAAGTGTTACACATGTTCTCTCAGCTGTCATACCAGGACACTTAGCTGAGCTCTCATCATTTTACACTGCAATAGTTGCAGCATCCCCTACTGTCTCTGCCATGGTCAGTCTGCCCCAGAAATCCTAACAACTAGCAGACTGGTTTTTTGTCATGCAGAATCAAAAACAATGTGAAGCAGATTAAAGGAGAAATAGCTTTCTCTCTCTTTATAGACTTGTTTTATTATTTTGAGTATGGAATGTCAGGCTCACTGAAATTGGTTGTCCTGGATGGTCATTTATATATGAAATACAGGCATATTAAACTAAGAAACTGTGGAGTTTGTTCTTTCAAATGGAAATGTGTTATTTTTGAACTGCAGAACTACAGACAGGATTTCAAACTGACACTGTCACTTCTCTAAGATGATACATGGCTCTTCTTCCTATAGCACATCCAGACTGAAGAACCTATCCATCAAAAGGCAGCACATCTATCTAATAATAAATAGTAATTAACATCAAATGCTGTACTGCATTTCATCAAAGCATGGTACAAACATTAGCCATAGATGGCACCCCTTTTACCCTGCCATTCAGAAGCAGAAAGGCTGAAGTACTCAGTGCCTAGCATCACTCTGAGGAAGATGCCTTTCTTCTCCACCTCTGGGGTGCAAAGATCATTCCAGTGGCTGGAGATGTTGTCCCATCTCACTGGTCTTAACAAGATACAGTCTCCTGACACACTTGAATGAATGGGAAACCACAACCCTCCTGGCAGTCATCTCCATCTTGTTCCAATCCTAACAAGACAAACAGATTATCTGGGGTTTTTTTTCTAAAGTCAACTTTCTGGTTGATGAAAATCTTACTGGTTCTCTCCAGATTCAAGTGATGACTCTCTTCACTGGAAGAGCTGCAAAATGGATTAGGCAGATTGCCTTCACGGTTTAAAGGAAACTGAAAAACCGCTTTCAGTAAAAGATAAAGTGTGGCTTTTGCCAGCTTATCGTGATGAAAAGCTAAAGAAGAGTTTCTTCAGCAAAGTACCTGCATTCACCTATTCTCCATACAGGGCATACAGCAGCCAGAAAAATCACCCTTATGTCTGAAAGCTGTCTTTAATGTTCTAGCAGATGATCCATCAGAGCATTCAAAACTAAATTAAAATCCCAAGGAGGAATAGGGGATTTAATTCTAGGATTAAGCTTTGAAGTTGCTCCCAGGAAATAAATTATTATTGGATGAGAACCAACACTCCAATTATCTAGTTTACTGCTCATGCTACTGGGAGCTGCTGCAAGCACCCTCAGGGATCCGCTTTACCTAGATGGTCTCATCTTTAACACAATATCCACATAAAGGCAAAACCTCAACTAGTCACATGCCAAGAAACTTCCCAGCCCCCAGTGTTAAAAGGGAAACCGCCCACTACAGATATACAGGGCAGTAAGTTTTCAGTCACTTAAGTTCCCTGGCTTTCACCTTTTAACTTGCTTTGTTGTAGATAATAGAATAGTTAATAACATGCCACTTCTTTGCTCCGTGTGTTACAGCTGGGTCAAAGTTCTGCAGTATTGGTGCTATCATAAATAAACACATTTATTTTTCTTACCCAGAAGGCCTACATGCTAGTGAAGTGGCTAGGAAGCCCTACTCCATCTCAATGGCCTCTAGACAAAACAATGGGACATTTCTAGCTTTTTACTTGCTATTCCACAGATTTCTTAACACTACCCAGAATACCTTAGCTTCACATATGCAGCTTCAAATCCTTAATGGTTGTTCACTGGGACATTACTAAAACATGTACCACTTCCTATGAAAAGGATAAGTTAAATAGCTCCAAGACTGATAAAAGTGTCTGGAGCAAAAAACAGTACAGAGAGACATCAGAGATGATATTTCACTCAAACTAAGTGGTACCAGTTAATCAGTGCTATTATAAACTCACTTGGAATATTAAGCTACTGCAGGTAAAAAAAATAAATCCTTCACTCTTAAAAATACATGTGTCACCACTGAGGCCAAATCTAACAGCAGAAGTGTCCACAAGTATTTGGTTTTCTCCTAAGGGATGCATTTTTTGTTTAAACACCTTATGGCATAAAAATACTGTCAAAGCATCACTACTATTTTCCTCCCAAACACATGGTTCCTATCTTTTCTCTATAGTTTTTTTCCAGTCCTTTACACAGGGAAACAATGTACACAAAGCAAAGACGAAACCCCACCCCCCTCCTTTGCCCTCCTTCACCTGCCAAGCTCTGTCATAACTTTTGATACCATTTATTACACACAAGAACCTAGGGAGAGGGTACATTCAACAAAGGGATTCACTTTAATGTCACAGTGGCATGACCAGGTTGGTTAGTGTCACCAGCCGGGCTCCCTGTCAGCACAGTTCTGAAAATCCCTTAGTTCACAACATCCTAGCAGCCCCTGCTTTTGTTGAGGGAAAGTTTGGGGTTGATAACAGCACCAAGTCTCTCTCTGTTCATCTCATTTCTCCTTCAGGTGAAGCGGATGGTATTACCAATAACTCACCAAGAGGGTGCAGGGGAAGAAATGGTAGGGAAGGAAAATATTATTTATACTGTCAAGGATTCTGAAAAAAAAGCAGCATGATGTTAGAAAAGCAGATCACTTTTCTAACACAGAAATACGGGCCTGAAAGCCTTCCTTGAAACAGAAGCATGAATGATTTCACTAGAAAGCCAAGAGCCTGTGAGATGGAAACATTCTCACTGGGTTTGAGTTAGGTGCTCACTACAGCATTTATTGTGCATTTGCATTGACCATCTAATTTAAGACAAATGTTTTCTTTACACACACTTTAAAGTGAAAAATTAGTTCTGTTAGCATGCAGCTGTGGTCCCCCAGGACAGCTCTTTGCCCAGGGGCAAACAGAAGAGAGATGTTAAAGAGCTTAAAAGTAGTTCTGAAAATCTGTCCACGGTCAGTTGAGAGCAGGCAGCATTAGGGTCACCTGCTCCTCTGCCCATTTATTCAGTAGTCTCATTAATTTAAAAGATGGAAAAGCATGTGTTAAGCCTGAATATCCACAGTCCCGGGAGAGAATATCTACCTACAGCAAGTGAGGTTATCCTGCTGCTCCATCACCACCACACCTTCCTGATAAAATAAGACCTCCCCTTGGCAAATTACTTTATGCAAATGGAGATGGATTTCTTTTGCTTGAGCGGTTTCCAAGTGAGCCAGCTGACTCAATAATTTAGCCCTCTGGCTGGAAGAAACATTAAGATTTCTGTCAGATTACTCTATATTCTAAAGAAAACTGCCACCTTCTTTTCTCCTTTACTTAGACATCTAGGAAGAGGCAATAAGCAAAAGATCTCTAGTACACTTCAGCAGCATCTTTTAATCTACCATCAAATTGAAATGGAGGCATTTGTCTCAACAGCTTTGAAGCCCAGCAGCCCATTTTCACTCTCATGTTAGTTCTGACCCAAACTCAAACCTCAGCATTTTAATGGCATGCACTACCCACAAAATGTCTCATGCTCTGATGTTTTTCTCTTTGTTTATTTTTTTCCATACCTCAGCTGTAAACCTGACCCTGAGACCAGGCCTTACTAAAATGTAAGTTCTCTTTCCCCTTCACAGTGTTTATGAGCTCAGAGCCAAGGTTATCTTCAGCTGACCAGATTCCATCCTCCAGAAAGTCTGTAAGTATGTCCTCTACCTGCCATGTTACTTCAAGGATGCAAGTGTTGATTATGTTTTTATGCTCTGGCAGTGGGAAAATGTAAAATACGGACCCTTGCTGTGAATGAGCTAGGCCTTTTCCTCACTCCTTATTAAGCACCACATTCAGAAAAGCACACGATGTTCTGTCCCTCTTCCCTCATCATCTTGAGAAAATGTCCACCTAGAGCTTTGGCCACACCCTGGCAACTTTCCCAGCCCAAGGACAGAGGCTGGGCATTACAGCAAGGCAACATTTATTGGAAGGACAGCTTAAAGCAGCTCACAGTGAAAATCTTGGCTTCCTCTGGCCCTTGTAGATAGGCTTGCCTGAGTAGAGGGAAATCTGTGACTGCATTCTGTGGGTTTACAACAAGGCCGTTTGTCATTTGTTGTGCCCTTTAAGCACAAGTACATTAAACTCCTGTGGAGTTATGGCTTGTTCCCCTGGCAAAAATGCAGCTGGACATCTCTGCTCCTGCCCATATGTCAGTCAAGAGTCAGAACCCTGGGCTTGATGTGCTACCAGGCTTTCTCATGCTGACAACGAGGGAACCTGCAGGCTGTTGTGCCTTGTTGGTCATGTTCTTATCCCAGGCCAAGGACAGCCATGTGTTTTCAAGCTGAAGGAATCGTAAATTTTTTGTCATAAACTGACTGGTGTCTCCTGCATGACTCAACTTTCTTAGGCCCCTATCTTTTGCCTAACAGGTTTTTTGTTATAGCCCAGCCTCCGCAGAGAGCACTGTCTCAGTGTCACAAACAACAAAGGGACAGTCCACAACCTAATGAAATAAAAGCACAAGGAAGAGGGATATCACTAATGCCACTTCTCCCAGAGATTTTCATCCTCAAAAACATTAGAGAGAGTCTAGGTCTCAGTTATATTGTTCCTTGTGTAGCTCAGGGGATGTAGAGAGAAGAGAGGTGCTGGGAGAGAGTAATGAAGAGATTTACTATTTGGCAGAACTATAATTTTATGTCAAGGGTCATTTAGTGTCATATCAGGAAAGGATTTCTCCCCCCTCCAGAGGGTGACTGGGCACTGGAACAGCTCCCCAGGGAAGTGGCCACAGCACCAAGGCTGACAGAGTTCAAGAAGTGTTTGGATAATACTCTCAGGCACATGGTGTGACACTTGTGCAGGGCCAGCAGTTGGACTCGATGGTCCCTGTGAGTGCCTTCCAACTCAGGAGTCACCCAATACTGGTGATGTTGTTGGGCTGAGCAAAGGTAGGTTTGACTTCAGTAAATCCAGTGTTGATGAAATGGCTCCTTGCTGGCCTCACTGTCTTGTGGTGTCCAGAATAGGGTACAGAAATGTCAGCAAAGCCTGGGATGCTGCTACAGGTGACTGAATGAACATGCACATTATGACAAGTGAACAGGACCTGAAGGCACAGTGCAATGTCCATGATAGCCAGACACAGCCAGAAAAAGATGCAAGAATTAGATAAGCTGCATCATTTGGAATGCAGGCTGGTGGCTATGTGCTAGAAAAGTTACTGTCCACAGGCAGAAAAAAGCCTCACCTGACCATGATGACAAAGTGAACTACTGACTATGTAGGCATCCAACACACACCCAACATTGCCTGCATTAATGCCCTTAGAGAAGGTCAAACAACCCATTCAACCATTCATTACTCCCTATGTTATAATGGCATAGTACTCCTTTTTCTTCATTTGGTGAGCTATCACCTCAGGCTGGCAATTTGTAGAGGCATGGGCCCAGCAACTGGAGAATTTGTTTGACTAAAACTGTTAGTACTCCCTTTGGGACACTACAAGGTGTGCAGTGACATGGGGCACATCAGGATGGGATGAAAAGTGAACACCGTGACAGTGCTTCCCCCTTCTGTGACAGCCTCAGTGATGAACTGAGGCTGCTGCCCATCAACAGAAGCTGACAGCTGTCCCTCTGCACCCTTGGCCTTAAAGGCTGCATGCTGGCAGTCTTGGATGTATGCAACTTCACGGCACAGCAATTCCAAAGGTCTTCACAGGTATACAAGCACCTGCTGCTGCTGGCCTTAGCAGATGCAGAGAACATCATGAACCCATGGAGTGTTGGTCCATGTCTCCCAGAACGGCTGGTCTGCAGCACAGAAGCAGGAATCAGGGTCAGTCACTTGTAGCTGGGGAAAAAGAAATCTAAATAGTGCCTCAAAAAAACCAGGGAGGCAGAATGGCTTTTTCTCTCTGCCCAGATATACTGGGTCCCAGAGCTGAGAATAGACAGGATTCTGGAAAAGGCCTTGGTACCAGACTAGGTACCCACCAGAAGAAAAGGATCCCACATCATAGGATCCCTGACAAGAAACATGCAATAGGATAAGATGATAGGGGCTGGGTGCAGGCATCCAGGTAACAAAGGTAACAGTTGAGTTCAACCTGAGTTCCCTGTTCCTCAGCCAATTCCCACCGTCTCCCTCAGCCTTGATCCCTCAAAAATTCAAAGTGAGAAATTTTCCTTTCTGAGAATACTAAAAAAGACTAGGGCACCATAACAGCTGCAGAGAAGTCTGACTTCAACTGTCATTATTCCAATCATGTAAATCTTCAAGGAAGAAGTGAGGAGGACCATGCAAGTGGCTGCAGGAATCCCCATTTGAAATGGCCATATCTGGTAGAAGGCACCGGACACAAGTGGATGATTCTGGTCACTCGATGCTGGAGGCAGGCCAGTATTGAGCAGATCCCCACCACACAGGATAGCACTGCTTCAAAACCCAGTGATCTGAAAGGACAGCTTACCTAAGAGGCACTGGTGCACTTGAACATGGTGCTGACATGGAGCAGAGCTAGGTTTCTCCTGACTGGTAAGGAAATGAGTAGGGAAACTGGTTATGATCATCTGCTTCTACAGTAATCCAGGAAACAAGTCCTTAGCTGTAAATAAACCAGCTCACAAAAAAATAAACCGAGTTGTATGGTTTCTTTGCTTAATGGAAACAGCATCATGAGATCACTGATAGTGGCTAACTTCCAGGGACACAGAACAATACTAGGCTGATAACAACCCTATCCTCCCAAACTGTCACCAGGATCTGCATTATTCTTCTCTACCAGTAGCTCTACTGCATAGAACTGAAATAACTAATCACACAATCTCACAGGTCTCAATGTCACAGGTTGTAATGACAGGCCCCAAAATATAAGATAGCAAGAATCTTGCACATGCACAGAAGATAAATGTCCCATGGAGTTACTGCTCAAAAGTCCACTTTCAGAGTTTTCATCAGAAGGTGCGGTGTCCTTAAAAATCTCTTTCTTCCGAAGCTGACAGAGTTTTCCTTGGTGCCTCTGTGTGCTGCAATGAAAGTATAATCTCCTTCAAGGGGGTGAATAGGAACAACAGGTTTTGGTATTAACTACTTATCTGACTGTCATTGCATCTGTGGCATTTTTGTTTCCAAGTTTCTCTTAGTGGCTGCAAAGGTTGGGAACTGCAGAGGTGCTGTAGAACTTCAGGTGCTTGGCCTGAAGTCTGTGGGCATCTTAGAGCACAAAGTAACAGCAGTCCCTCTTCACCAACCAGGCAGTCATATGGTCACAGGATAATTCAGGCTGGGAGGGGCCTCAGGAGGCTCTAGTCCAATCTCCTGCTCAAAACAGGGTCACCTGGGAGACCAGAACTGGTTGCTTAGGTCTTGAACCAGATGAGTCTTGAAAATATCCAGGGATGCAGACTGCACAGCCTCTCTGGGCAATCTGTCCCACTGCATTCCTGTCCACAGCCAATTCCTGCAGAAGCATGGAAGTATGCTCCACAGTATCTTTGAGCCCAAAATTCTGAGGAAGACCATGTTGGCTGGACAGCCCCGCATGCCTTCACAAGGGCATGAGGAGGCCTGCTCCACAATCCCCACACAGTCATATTCCATGGATCTCTTCAAAACCAGGTCAGTACCAAGGCAGGGTGCCCATTCTCCTCGTCACCTGCTCTGCCCACATCCCTGTACAGCATCAAGATGCTCACCAGCTCCCTGTCTCCACATGGTTATTGTACCCACCCTTGTCCCCCAGCTCCTCCCAGTGAGTATTCACTAAAGTGTCCCCTCCTTGGATATTGCATCTGAATGGTGACAACAGGGTTGCCAAGCAACATGAATCCTCCGAGCAACCAACCATGGCAGATCGCAGCAACCCGCTGCAAACCCACTCCGAAGCTTACAGGCCTGACACCATTTTGTCTCTTACCCTCTCTTTCATCCAGCCATAGCTCAATTACACTCAGATCCATTGTCTTCTCTTCCCTTGTCAACCAACAGCACCATCCCAGGTACTCCTGCCATTTCCAACCTAAATTATCATTCTATGCAACATATTAAAGGCCAGCTCCCTCTCAACAGACCGAGACAAATGATTCAAGTGCCCACTACCTGCCTTAAGCCCTCCTTTCTCTCCACAGGACTGGTGGAACACACAGCGTATTTCCTCCAGGCTCACCCCAAACTTTGAAATAACACAAAATGTTTTTATCTGCGTTGGGAAACACACATTGTCCTTGCAAGTCTTCAGCAGATGCAACGACATGATCATCCTGAGGAGGATGGTGGTTCAGTCAGCCACTGGAGCCACAGGGAAGGCAGACCCCAGCTGGCCACTTTTGGAACAAATTCCTTAGGGACTAAACCACAATGGCAGGAGAGAAACACAAGGCAGCAACATCCAGAAGCGACTAATTGCTGCTCTTTATTCTGTCTTTCTGCTTTTCTTCAGGTGCCAGTCACAGCACCTCCTGGGACCAGCACTAGTGGATCCCAAACACCAAATCCCTTGTCTCACAATCACATAACTTCCGGTACAAGGGAGATGGAGGCAGAAGGTCATTTCTCTGCTTCGCTCTCCCAGAGCTTTTAAGCAGATACTGTGAGCAAATGAGAGGCAGTAAACTCTTGGAAGGCACACTCATGGCACTCAGGAGAAATTGAAGGCTTGGCCTTACTGCCTGCAATCAGCTGAGTTTAGAGGGGGTGGAGATTCCAGGATGAGCCAACTGCTGTCTTCTCTCAGCACAGCTGAGAAAGAAGCTCCCCAGGCTGCCTTGGGCAATCTCAGAAGTCACCCCAGGAGAAGGCTGAGCTCAGGGGCTCACGTGCTGGCTCACCATGAGCCTGGGATGGGTGGCCGTATGAGGGCAGCCCCAATAGCTAAAGGGCACACTGCTTTTACCGGGTGTATCACCATTAGGGGCTGGGATCACCTCCATGGTTGGCTCCAAGATGACCATCTAGGGAGAGAAGACTTAGTGGCCACTTCTTTCCAATGCAGATTGCCTTTCATCCTGAGAGACTTAGAGAAGGATGTTGGTTTCCAAGTTGGTTGTTAGGTTTGACAGGGCATGTCTACACTACTCCATGGCACAGTACGCTGAGAATAGAAAATCCCAATTGTGGCATTTAATGGTGCCAGTAATCAGCCCATGTGCACTAGTTTGCTGATAGGAATTCTGGATTCCGTCTGTCCAGACCTAGGTTACATATATCCACCTCCAATTCCATTGGCTGTACAGCCACGCCCTTGTATTGATGTATTTTAACAAGATGTATTTTAACCAAAGCAAACTGAAAAAGGGTTCAGATTAAGTAAATCAATCCTCCCACATAAAGAGGCTACATAGACTTAATTAAATTGATAACTGGGCCAACCTGAACTAAACTAGCTCAAATTTGGGTATAGACAAGGCTTTATTTTTCTTACTAAAATCATTAACTAATCTAAGCTTTCATGGGCATTAACTGCATGGTAATGAAAGTGAATACTCAGTCCAGTCTTCTAGTGTCTCTGTCTCCATCTGGCCCCAAATATAACACTTCAAGAGCTGGATACACTCCTGAACCTACCCTCAGAATCAGTATTCATTGTATTCTCACCTGAAGCCCAAAGGACTCAGTAAAATCGCTGCTTTTCCCATAAAAATAACTTTATGGAAGCATCTATACAACCATTCCTCACAGAGGAATCTGAGCAAGTCTCACTCTTGCAGAGAAGCTATAATTTCTGAAGAAGCAGCAGTTAACCAAATAATTCTGTTCCAGCATCTCATCTATGGACCCTGTATAGGGATGATGGTATTATCCTATTTTTCTTTCTCAGCTAGTTAATAGGAAATCCCCTTTCAAAGGCAATTTCCATTTTAAATCACCCACATTAAGAGAGACATGTTTAATACCAATAAATCCGCTTTCTTAAAAGAGACATAGAAGCCAGGCTCATCGGCTGACTAAATCCTCTCCCCCCACCCCCATTCCTGCCTCGCAATCTGTAGATCTTGCAGAAGGGTGATCTAAGACAGCTGTAGTTAGCTAGCTACACTTCTGAGCACTAAGCTGCTCCTCGCTTTGTATTCACTCTGTGCCAAACCAAGGTCACAGGGACACGAGGCGCTAAAATGGGAGTTGCAGCCGGAGATGCTTGGAGGCTGGGTTTCCACACACCTCCCATGGCAGCCTCTCCCTACATCAGTCTCCCACTACAAGTCAGTGTGGGGTGAGTGCTATCTAAAGCCTCTGCAGATGAAATTATTTTTTCTCCTCAAAGCTTTTTGTAGCACACCAAGGAGAACCAGCCTCCAATTCGCTGAGGGATCACAATGCTCAAAACACATGCCCTAAGGGCCCCTCCTCATCTACAGGGACCCAACTCCATCTTCACCAGTGCTTCTCCTATCCAGAGGGATTTCTAGCATAATTGCTCTTGCAGACCGCTGTAGCACACCTTTGGCAGAGAAGGGGGTGGCAGCCTTTCCAGGTCTCTTGTGTGCCTAAAGCCACAGCCAGCAGTGGGGGCAATGCTAAGGCAATACCCCATCAGAAGCCAGAGAAGAGTGACTTCAAAGCACCCCCCACAAGGTCAGTGTTGTCATCTTATTGCAAAGTTCCATACCTTCTTGGTGATTTCTTATGGGCAGCTCCTCATGGCACTTACTCCTTCTTCTTTAAAGCACAACCAACAAACCCCAACTCTTTCTCCTCAACAAGCTAATCCACTCTTTTGTAGCACTCTTCTTCTTATTGGACACAGCTGTGGCCTATTAGGGGCAGGCCTGCTCCTAACTGGTAATTAGTACAGCTGCAACTTCTCAGGGGGGAGATTGCTTCCTGCACTCTTACATTCTATCTTCCCACAGGTCAGGGCTGCAGTGGCATAGGTATCTCACTTGTCTGAAAGGAACAGACAAAGCTGAATGAAGTCCCTGTTGCTTCCCCTTGCTATGACAAGTACAAGGAGCAAAAATTACTAGGTAAGATAAGGCTTAAGAGGGAAAAAAAGCAAAACCAAGGCACAGCAGAAAACCTTGGTCTGGCTGTTCTTAGTGCTGCCAAGTACTGCACCAAAGCCACCCATGTGATTTTGCCCTGCCTCATCATGAAGCTCCCATAGCCAGAGCTTCTGCTGGCAGGTAAAATGCTGTGTCCCTGCAAAGCCTCTCATGGGAGACAGCTCCCTTTACTGAGACAAGATCGTGACACAGCAGTAGGAATCCCGAAAATTACTTTGAACCTTCTGTCTGAAGCAGATAAAATCCACTGTGCATTTTCCCAGTTGGAAATCTGAACTATTTATTTGGAAAACAATCCTTGTTTGTCTGATAGCAAAGGGATCCAATTGCTCTGGACACATCCCTGTTCCTCCATCAGGCTCCAGCTCTGCAAGCACCCCTAGAAGTGGTGTAGTCATGCACAGGCATGCCAAAAACAGCATCACCATCAGCAAGTACCCTCCTGTGTGCCTGTATGAGGCAGGGCCCCTCAGAGTGGTGGGACTGAGCCCAGTGACTGAGGAGGGCCCTTCTGCAATGTCCCAACCCTGCAGCAGGACCCTTACAATCAGATCCTTCCTTTCCAGGACCACTGCTCCAATAAAGCCTGTTGATAGGAGCACTTCAAAAAGAAGTTTATTTCTTTAAGAAGCATAAAGGTAAGAACAGAAGACTCTTGTTTCATGCTTTATTGTTCAAAGAACCTTGCCCTCATTTTGCTCCACGACTCTGAGACTGACTGGGCACTGCTAAGCAGCAAGGACAGGCCTTCCACTGTGGGAAACCGCCCTGCCTTTACTGGAGCAGGAAGCCATCCTCCTCCTCCTCCTCCTCCTCCTCCTCCTCCCTCGCAGCACTCTTTCCAGTCTAGATAGCATGGATAATTTTATCTGTTTCTATGCTCTCCTTAACCAAAATGGTATTTCTTCAACAATTCCATAAACACAGACAAGAGCACTTTGCTTTCGATCTTGTATTTATTTTCCACCTGATAATTAGATCCATTTCTTGACCTGAGATTAAGTAAGTAAAAACTTACTTAATCCTCTAGTCAGTGGAGAGAAAGAGGAAGGGCAAAAACATGAGTTGGGGGAGCTTCATGGCCTTCTGCTTTGCAACTTGTCATAATAAGTCATAGCAGTTAGGTTACATTACAACACAAGACCAATTAATGATATGTAGATCAGGGTAAAGCATACAAAGATTAATATAAATTTTATGCAACAGCTTGCTTAAATAATGCTTCTAGGGAAAAATAAGTTAAGAAAACAGTGGGAGGGAGAGCACACAATCCTCGTTTTCTGTTATTCCAAGACAATTTTAACCTGCTCAGTGGGCAAAACTCCTTGCTTGACCAAAATATTTTTGCTGTAAAAAGATGAATTAGTACCATACGTAACTTCTACCATGCCCCAGGGTGGAGTTAGGTGCATGCTAGAATGTTCCTATCTGTCTGTATCTGCATTGAACTGTTAAGCAGATGCTCACTGAGGAGAAAATAGACTGCAATAAACTGGCACTGACACAGATCTGGATTGCTGGAACTGCTATAGAGATAAAATTCATTTAAGAAATGTGGTTTCCATTTCCCTTTAATAAAAAGCTATTGAAACATTAAAAATATCTGCTATTTCAAGCAGCATACTGTACACATAAGTAAGAGAAGAAACAGAATTCATTATGTAAAATGTAATACAGCCTAATACTGCACCTCATAGAAGAGCCAAATTAAAGTCCTTTTTCAGAGCAAGGAACAAATCCTGTTCTCATTTACAGAGCTGACCTACAGTTAAGGTCTCGTCCATTTTCAAAGCCGTAGTCCATGTATGAGGACACACCACAGATCCCAATAGGAGAACTGCACAAGGGAAAGAAGAGAGCATGCAGTGCAACACATCCAAGTGGAGATCTCTAGCTATGCTGACAGTGGACTGCCCTTCCTCCCTCCATCAATCTCCTCTTTGGTCTTACTCTCAGTGCTCTCTCCCAGTCACTGCACAGAGTTAGCCAATACACATTCGTTATATTAGCACTGCTCTTCCCAGAATGGGGCAAAACCCTAAAACAGGCAATTCTTTGATCTTCATCTCCCCAAGTTCTGCCCAGGCTGCTTCAGCAGCATGTAATGAGCTCCTATCCTGTGCAATGAGTAGTCATGACAAAACCCCAAAATTACACAGATAAATCATTGTCTCCTCTCATGATACCAAGAACAGTAATTATTCTGCCAAATTAACCTGCCTCCAAATCAAGCCTTTGGTCTTGCACTCCAGGAAGTTTTAAGAGTAGGAATTTGAAGTACTCTTAGTACTCAGATGAGATCAGAAGCAGGAGTGGAAAGCTATAATGGAGAGCTATATGCCCCTCCCCTGCCCCTGTGTAAGTCAGGCTGACAGCTCCAGAGCTGGTGGTTAAGTTGTCACACCAGCATTCCAGGGATCTGTGAAACCTGAACACACAGCACCCTAAGCTTGTCATTATGTACCAAAAAGAAACATTGCCATGCTAAGCTAATAGATTATCACGTCTTCTTTAACCATGTGACCGAAGATCATCCTGGACACTATAAATTGCTGCATAATTTCAGCTCTGAAGAAAAATCTGAAGAGTTTTAAATACCATTTTTACTGGCTATGACCTGACCCGCCCCCCCCCGCCACATTCCACCTTGTATATTTCTCTAGGAAACATGAGCATCACAGTGCCCAAGTCCCATCTCTTTCTGGTCCCTTGCATTCACTGCCTTGCACCACCCTGTTGTAGGAGAAACATGATCCAAGGTGAAACATCAACCTGCAGAAGGTTTCCAGGTCACTAGCAGAGTATGGCAACCCAGAATTAGCAAGAACATCAAGACTGAAAGAAAATTAGCAGAAGGCTCATAGCTATACTGAGTTTTTGGTCTCCAGGAAGAAGCTAAGCAGCCATTTCATTATATCCACACTTTGAACGCTCTTGCAGTGGCATAAGGAAAGCCAAAAAAGTACCAGTGCTCTTTTCAAGAATGCCTTGAAAAGCATTTGTGATGGAGAAGAGGAAAGTACCACATTTGGGGGTGGTTCCTGATACAAGACCCTTTAGATTCTCAGGGAGCAGAAGGGGCAGGCTGCTCCACAAGGAAAAGCGAGAAAAGCTGGGCACTGCAGGACCACACCGTCACCAACACAGGCACAGCACCTGAGCAAAGCCAGCATAGCAGTCACCTTACAACCACAAATCAAGTCCAAGGTCAGTCCAGGAAACACAACAAGATTCATCAAAGCTGTGCTGCTCACTGCACAGCTCAGGCTCAGAGCAAGGCTGAGGCTAAGGACATCCCCAGGCCAGGGAGCAGCCAGAGACAATGGGTGGGGGTTCCAGGTGAGGTGCACACAGCAACTGCAGCCCCCCAGAGCAGTGGGGATCGGCAGCAGCTCTCAATACTCAGTTTCCCATGTCAGGGCCATGAGTCAGCTTCCATGGCTGCTGCTCCAAGTTTTTCACCTAGCAACAAGACAGACGGATGGATGGGGGGGGGGTGTTAGAAGAGATGTTGAAGCAAAATGAGATGAGAAAGACAGAAACTAAACTGTCAGGGAGATTAAGAGAAAGATGCAGTGCCTGAAGCTATTTCAGCTTCTAAAGGACAAAGTTCGTGGGTAGCAGAGTCCCTTCTGCACTTTAGCCTTCCTGGCATGGACACCTCTCATGGGGTGAGGAACACATCCAGCTCCCTCTTGAGCCACACTGCAGGTCTGTGGGCTCCTGTGCTTTGATCTACATGTCAAAAGCTCTGCACCAGCTCCTCTATGACCAAAGGCTTTGTAATTTGCAGTGCGTAAGCTTACCCCGATGCTGCTTCTCACCAGGCAGCACCAAGTGCTCTGTCAAGGGGTAGCCATGAGGCAATTCTCACTGTGCCCACTGAGGAATAGTAAGCACTACCCTAGCTGACTTTCAGCTGGTTGAACTGAAGCCACTGGGAAGGTTGGAAGGCATGAAGCCAAGAGCTGCCCAGGGGATGGACCCCATCCAGGGCCAGAGCCCTGTACCCTCCCCCAGTACACACCATGCTGCAGTCCTTCCTGCTGGCGGCAGGCTTAGGATCAGGGAGAATAGCCAGGCTGCTGCACCACCTCTTCCCAGAGGAGAGGGTGCTCTCAGAGACTTGAGGGTCAGCACTAGGGAAGGCTGTGCCTCCTCAAGCTCTAAAAAAAGGACTTTGTTCCCGCTCAGCAATTTTTTCCCATCTGGGCTAAATCCACTCTTAGAAAGAGATAGCTCTATCTCCAGGGAAACAGGCTCTCTGCGCTCACAGGGACTCAGCCAGCTCCCCCTCTCCTTTTGCTGTGGGGTCACTCAGCAGTGAGGCTGAGGCACCACAGGGCATGGGGCTCATGGGGCCACCCCACGTCTGGAGCACAGGATGCTCCAAGGTAGCATGTGCCAGTCTCTGTGCTGGAGCTACACAGCACCCTTGTGAACTTGCCCAGCTCTGGAGAGCTCACACAAAAGTGATTACAGAGATTGACCATGCTCAGAAGCCTCTCATTACTGAGAGTGACTCGTGCAGTCTGCTTTGAATCTTCTTATTTGCCCAAAATAGCTTCATGTTCTCAGCACCAGTTTTCTTTGCAAAATCATTCACTGCCCTCCTTCCCACTACAGAGAGCCAGACATGTCCTGCGCACCAAGAACTCCTCCCCAGCT